AAAAAGATTGCTAAATATGTGAGGATCAATCTGGCACAAAATAAAATGAAGCTATAAAATGTCAAAAGGAAGATAATTATTAATCACTTAAGAAAAAAAGAAGTTATTTTTCTTCAAAATTCACTTAAGGATATTTCATGGAGAATTTAAATAGTAAATTACACTATGGGGTCATTCAAAGGGAGCTCAAGAGCCAAAGGGTCTGAACTTACAGAACTAAGATGTTAACTCAGATGAATGAACAGCTTAGATAACCATGTAATCCTGGGAGCTATTATTTCTAGAATGCAGTTGAATACTCACAGGCATCAGTTATCCTTTCGTTCCATATAAAAATTTGTCTTTGTATGGCAAAAGCAGTTTTCTCTTGTCTTTATGTCCAGTCCCTTCAGTGGCACTAATATTCGTAAACTGAAAACTAGGTGGCAGTTCCATGCACCATTCAAAGGAATGTAACTACATGAACTAAAACAATCTTGTTCATTACCTCCTGAGAATTAGTTAATTCTCCTGCAGCATTTCTTCATTTTCACTGAATGAAACATTCATTAAGTTTTTATTCTTCCACAGTTGTTCAGCATTGTGTGAAATATGAAACACAAGAAAGAAAGAAAAGAAAGAAAGAAAGAAAGAAAGAAAGAAAGAAAGAAAGAAAGAAAAGAAAGAGGAAAGGATTAATGTTTTAGAACATCTTCCTTGGCCTTCTGAGCTTACTACCTCATTTTGGGCAGGGAGAATTATATAGTATATTCAAAACAGATACAAGTGCTTTCATCTGTCCATTATCAGGCCTCTGTTTTTCTTTTTCTGAGTCCTAAATTCTATTAAAGCCTTCCTTTCAGCAGGCTGTAATTAAACAGCACAAAGATACTGGCTGATAATGCCCAAGGTGGTAACTTTCCAGAAAGATTTTCATTTTAATCAAGGACTCTTTTTAAAATTTTTTAATCAAAGTCTCACTATGTAGTTCAGGCTAATATTAAACTCACTACATGGCCTAGGCTGGCCTTGAAAGTTTGCAGCAATCCTCTTGCCTCCTCAGTGCCAGGATTATAGGTGTGAACCACCATGCCCAGCTCTCCAAGGACTTTTTAAGAAAGATAAAAGTGGGCCTTTTTAAACGAGGTTAGAAAGGTGTGCAAGGACCTATTTACCTACCAGAAGCTATACCACGCATGCTGCTTTCACCCAAGTCACAAGTCTGTCATTTCCCTCCTTCTGAAAACCTAGCTTGCTGGTCTCACTGCCATCTACCACTGCTTACAAGATGGGTCCTGAAGTTCTTGGCTTGGTGCGCTAGGCACTATTGGGCCTCATCTTCCTTCTTCATAAATAGACATCCTACTTTCCAGCCTCACTGCACTTTCTGTTTCCATATACTGGCCAAGCCCTTTATCAACATCTTGCTTTGCCCTTGTCACCACTGCCCAGAATGTATTCCCCTAACCTCTTGCCTTTTTTTTGGCAACTCCTACTTTGAGACCTGGCATAAAAATCATCTTTTTGATTCTTCTGTACTACTCCAGTACTGGGAATTGAGCCTAGGACCTTTGCACTAAGCTACATTTTTAATCCTTTTTTTTATTTTTTTGAAACAGGATCTCCCTAAATCGCTAAATTGGGCAAGCTGGGCTGGAACTTGCAATCCTCCTGTCTCAGCCTCCCAGAGTGCTAGGATTACAGATGTGTGCCACCATACTAGGCTTCCTCAGCCTTTTATGAAAAATCTAAGGGCCAGGGATTTAGCTCAGTGGTTCCGGCTCCTGCCTCACAAGTGGAAGGTCCCAAGTTCAATCCCCGGTACGAAAAAAATAATAATAATAATAATTCTGTAGATGACCTTTTGGGCCAGGGATTTAGCTCAGTGGTTTCGCCACCTGCTGCACAAACACAAGGACCTGAGTTCGATCCCTGGTACCAAATAT